TTTCAGGGACCTGCTGATACTTTCCTAACTCCTTTTCCCAGTGGAAGGAGGACTGCTTTTATGCGAAACAAGTAATTGCTAAGGCAGCCCTTGAACCTGTAGGAAACAAAGCCATTGCCTGTACAGCTGTGTGGGAGGCCACCTGGAGGGAAAGGAGCTTGGGCTGTTTTGCCTCCAGCACAGTCTTGATACCTGAGAGAACAAAAGAGGATTTGTAGCCCAAACACATCCATGGTGTCATTTATAATTAAGGCTCCAGGGCCACCTTCTGAGGGGGCTTGCTCATTTCCCTCAGGGTATTTTTATTGTCAAGAGCTGCATCTGCTCCTTTAAAGTCCAGCTTTAACCTCACCCCTCAGTGGCCCTGTGGTGGAATCTTGCCCACTTTTGGGACACCCAGTGGTCCCTGGCCATGTCGCTCTGGCTCACTTGGAGCAGCCTGGGAGCAGCTGCAGCCCTCGTGAACTGACCATGTCTCTAGTTTTTGCCACTTGACTCTCTTGGCAAGTCCAAGCCACCATCGGCTACAAAAATCAGTGAAACAGGGGTTTTATGGTGGTGAAATGCAGCCTCAGAAACCAGCTTGCAAATATTTAGTCTGTCAATCCTTCACCCTTTACTTCTAAGTTCAAATGACCAAGTGACTAGAAGTTAACCCTTTCTAGGTTTAAAACACACTCTAACCACTTGCCTTTCAACATGACTAAACCTCTCTGTGCCTCAGTTCCCCATCTGCAACATGGGGATAATGCCAACCTCCCAGGGTGGCTGTGAGGATGAGACGAATTAATTTGTGAAGAGCTTCTGGCACCGTGCTGGGCCTGGGATAGACGGAGGACTGACTCATTGTACCGACTTCCTCAAGCTCTGCTAATGAAGACGTGCTGCTTAATTACACAGTTTCTAATTGGGACCACGTCCCCCTGCAGGAATCTGTTTATGAGGCGCCCATATGCTACTCTACATACAACTACAACTTTTATATTTTCTAATTTCCAATGTGTGTTCATTGTAAAAATGAGAACATGCAGGTAAGCAAGAAAGGAAGAAACCCATTTGTAATTGTATAGCCAGCTGTGAACACTTGGTGCCTCCTTCTAGCAGGGGTGTGTGTGTGTGTGTGTGTGTGTGTGTGTGTGTGTGTGTGTGTGTGTTTGCGTGTTTGCGTGCTTGCGCGTGTGCAGGTTAGTAACTGAAAATAAAAAGCACCGATTACTGTCTGTACCATATCGTATCACACTGCATGCACAATTCCTGCCTTCTTCCATACACTTTTGGGATGGCCATGTGGAATTCTGTTGTACTGTTGAGCTTACTCCCTCCAGTTGCTGGAAGTCAAATCGCTTGGTTTCACACTGAGGCACGTTTTTAAAGGTTTTGATGTTGCATTCTAAACTGCTAAGGGCTTGCAGTTGATTAATGACTGTCCTGGGTTAATCTCTCTGTTCTTGAAAATCCTTTGATTCCAGCAAAGTGTGATGTTTCCTGGTAAGAGTAAGGCATTACGTTGTTCTGTCCTGATTCCAACAGGCATCAACACATCTTGAAAAGCAGGTTTTTTTCCTTATGGACTAACTTCCCCAGGGTGATGAGAAAGTAGCATGGGCTTGACTCATAGCTGAGAGGACCCATTGTCATGTGTCCTGAAGGGAGGTGAGGAGGAGACAGGCTGGCAGAGGAATGGATCCAGTGAACGGCTATGCTTGTCCCACATCTGGAGTCCTTGGCTTGGCAAGAGCTTCATGCTGAGATTGGTTAGCTAGGTCACCAGGCACCCAATAGTCCTGGGAGACTGACAACTCCCCAAAAAGTCAACGGCTCCTTTTCACAGAACAGATTCAGAAGGAGAGAAGACGCAGGAAGATCTTGGGGGACAGTGAGAAATGAATTGATTCCCTTTTAGAACTCTATTGGGAGAGAAACACATGCAAGGAACAGATATGGCCAGAATAATGGCCCTCCTATATAAAAGCCAAAAGATTCAAGTACAGGCCAATTGTGAAATCCATTTTATTTTTCTTTATCTTAAATCTCTAGATCAACGTTAGTTTCAGAATTACTTAAGACAGAGATTGATTTCACTGCCTCTGTAAATACTAGACGGACATTAGTTTTGTTTGGTTTCACTCACTTCTTGAACTTTGTGTTTTTGGTAGTGAATCAGCCTTGGCTATGAGTTGGTCTCTGCTGCTGGCTTTTGGAGCACATCTGGCGGGCAGCAGAGAACCCCCAGGATTTTTGGCTCCAAAGACATTGGCTTGCATTTGAACTTAGGGAAAGTTTCCAGTAATTGCCATTGAAGTTTTCTTCATACAGCAGAGGACGCTGTTAGCCTGAGCCAGGCGTGGGCTGACTGGAGTCCCACATCCCAGGCTGAGCCAGTCAACCTCCCAAGGGGTTGGGAGGCCACCCTTACAGAACCATAGGCCAGTGCAGCTGCATCGCTGGCTTGTTGCTTGACTTGTAACACCACAATTGTTCTTCAACAAGCTTCACCCAGAGAGGTCCTGTGAGTGTCTGCTGTGGCCTGGTGGGTGACCACGGGGACCTGTCCTCACACCCTGGACCACAGACCTTACAGAGAAGAGCACGGGGTGCTCTGGGGCTCAGAGGGAGGGCGCATCCTCCTTGTCTTGGGGAACCAGGACCCCCTTGTTGAGGCGGAGGGGAAAGTTAGAAGAAGGAATATGGGTTTTCTAGGTGAGATAGAAGAGAGACTCTCGATACAAACACATAAGATTTTTATGGATGTTTCCAGGGAGCAGGGAGAAAAATGTCTCTTTCAGCTCCAGGTCCATTATGGGACTGTGCAGAGCAGCTCAGAGCATCTTATAAACAATGTAGCAGGTGTCTGTCTTGGTCTAGATGCAGGTGATCTGAAATAGCACTTTATTTTGTCAGGATTACCTTAATTCTGAGAAACCCCAAGCCCTTGGGCCTGATGTTCAGGTGAGAGGCCCAATGCCCGAGGGTCCCTTCCTGCCTGTTCCAGAGTCCAGCGGTGGGCCCTGGGCCCTCGGTGTGGCCAGAAGCCCCCAGACTCTAGGAATTTCATTTTAGTGTTAAGGATCAGAGGAATTCTCTCTACATTCATTTCCTTAGAGTCACTCCCTCTGTTTTTAAACTCTAATCTTTTATTTTTAAAGACACAAGTATTCTTGCCTCAAAGGACTTGGGAATGTGCTCTAGGAAGGGAAGTGTTTTCTCACCCGCGTGTGAGTGCGTGCACACACACACACACACACACACACACTCCCCCTTCCTTGGGGTGAGGAAAAACTGAACCTCTGTCTAGTTTACATTTTTAAAGATGAATTTACATTTTATCTCTATTTATAAATTTATATCTTAAAAATGATCTTATTTTTAAAAAGTCATTCACTTCAAAAATGACTGTCAAGGTTACTAGAGTCAAGGTAAGAGGCAGAGCCTTAGGATCTTGGGGTGAGAGGTTATTAACTGATTTAGTTCTCTCCACAAATAAGAGTTATTGTAAAGCCCCCAGTATTTTCAGTTCCCAGCCCTTTATTGCTGCATAAATGGAAGTGATTCCTGTTCACACTAAAAGTATTTGGAACTCCATTTACAAAATATTGAAGAGATCGCTAAGACCTTTTGCTTATATAGATTATGTTTATTGATATTTGCCAAATTAGAAATTAAAACTAAGAAATTTAAAAATTATTAATTCAAAACATAAAAACTTCTTACATGTTAACGTGAATAACATATTTTATGAAAAACAAATGTATTTTCTAAAACAGAAAATTTAGTTAGAGGATTGGCCCTTTTCATTTTTGCAAATATCTCTCATGCTTGGTGTAAGAGGAGGGGTGATTTTCCTCTGCTTCTGGTTTCAGTCTGTGATGATTTGTTGAAATCTATGAAGAAAATCTGGCTTCACATGGATATGCTCTTGGTAAAAGGGGGCACTGCCCGGGTCCCAAAAAGGGTCTCAGAGACCCCACAGGGGTGCTTGGACCACTCTGAGAATGGCTTAAGCAGACCAGTTACCAGGGCATGTGATGGGTTTTAAACGAAACACTGTGAGAATTTGGGTGAATTGTAGGTCAAATCAGTCTCTTATGGAACAGAGGAACAGATTAAGAGATCTTATATAAAGCGTTGTTTTATGGTCTTGTACTTGATTGCACATGCTCCTTCCGTGAGCTCGGGGAGGGTACATATGATATCCCCAGTAACTGACTTGAATTGCTGAAATCCATAGCAAGGGCTCCATTGTTATAAAGTGTTCTTAAGATGCTCTGCCGTTCTTTAACTTCTACTCCAGTTCAGGAGATGACATCCTTTCTTTATAAAGGGTCAGAGTAACTATTTTAGATTTTGTGAGTCCTCTGGTCTCTGTGTGACTACTTACTTACCTTGATAGAATATGTAAACAAATGGGCATCGTTTTGTCCCAACAAAACTTTATTTATAAAAACAGATGATGGCCTGGATTTGGCCCAAGGGTTCTAGTTTGCTGGCTCCTGCTATAATTACACATTAGAGTCCTAGCCTTGAGACTATTTTACCCTATGTCCTCAGTCTTCAGCCATGAAAAATTTAGTGATATTCAAGGAAAAATAAAACCAAAAACGTTGAATTTCTTTTTTTTTTACTTGATGACACATCTGGAATAGTCAGCTTCCAGTGGTGTTGGCTGCAGGCAGTCCTCCTGAGGAACCGCTGACTGTGGGCAGATTGGAAGTAGAGTGTTGATTCCAGGAACTGAAGAGGATGGATGATAGTTTACTTGCTTCACGGTTTATTCTTTTCCTGGGTGCTAGTTAAGCTTCCAGAGAGTCAGAGCCATTTTTTACATTTCTCCCTATTGGTTCAATAATTATGAAATACAGTCCCATCTCCCCAAATCCAACAGAGACAGTCATATTGTAACTTTACTTTTACTGACTCCTTGTAGATAGAGATGCTGGGATGGCACGGGCGAGGTGTTTTGCAGTATCTTGAGCCTTCATTGTTTCCCTCCCTTCTTACAGAAATACAAAGAGTATGAGAAAGACGTTGCCATAGAAGAAATCGATGGCCTCCAACTGGTGAAAAAGCTGGCAAAGAACATGGAAGAGATGTTTCACAAGAAATCTGAAGCAGTGCGGGTAAGTGACTCGGCTTCAGCTCTTTATGGTCTGTAGACACAAGGCAGCTGCAGGGAACTGGCTCTGGTGAACCCAACTCTCAAGAGACCAAAGTTGACTCAGCTCTCATGTGAACTCTTCCTTTTCATAAGTCTAGTGAACCAGGAAGAGGCATTACTAGGGACAGGATTGCCCTCTCCATATATGGTTCAGGTCCTATATTTCATTTTATAATTTTACTAGAGGCCTGGTGCACGAAATTCGTGCACTCGGGGGGTCCCTTAGCTGGCCTGAGTCCTCTTGCAGTCCGGGAGCCCTCAGCAGTAGGACATCCTTAGAATTGCCACCACTGCTGCGCTCACCAGCCATGAACCCAGCTCAGGGCTTCTGGCTGAGCAGCACACCCCCTAAGGGAGTGTGCTGACCACCAGGGGGCAGCTCCTGCCTTGAGCGTGTGCCCCCTGGTGGTCAGTGTGCAGCATAGCGACCTGTGGTTCTGCTGTTCAGTTGACTTGCATATTAGCCTTTTATCATATAGGATGCTTTCACCAGAGGCAATGTTAATTGTATAGCCAGAGAGGGTGGCTTAGGACTGTGTGATGCATTTCCTAATTCCCAAATTATCACTCAAAGGTCCCTGGGATCAACTAAGCACCTATACAAAATTTAAGCAATGCTTGCCAAAATATGGAACTGGAAATCTCAATGAAGTGAATGAATCTAGATGAAGTCAGAAGTTCCTTTGTCACTAGTGGACTATTACTATAAATATAAAGCTTTATTGACTGGTAGGAGCTCCCTGAACTTTCATATTATCAGCAGGATGAATAGAACTACAGTGCACAGATATATTATTTTGGATTTCCAAGGTGGTTTCCGACTTTATTCCTTGTAGTCAGCTAAACAGGCCATCCTCCGTTCTTGCTTTAGGACATGGGAATGTTGTAATATCCTATATTGCCATATTGGCACAGGATTATGGGAAAGAATTGCAATATGCAGACTTCTTTATTTCTAATCATGTATAGTTTGCTTACCTTCCAGTTTTAATAATCATCTCCAGAATTACTTTGTTATAAAGGAACACTTTTGACTTTAGCTTTTCTCACACTTAATTGGCCACAGAAATTTCCACAAGTTATTTCTGCTTTAAACCTGATGACCCCACACATTTGCTTAACCCTGAAACTTTTCTGTACTATTTTTTAAATTGATTTCAGAGAAGAGGGGAGAGGGAGATAGAGATAGAAACATCAGTGATGAGAGAGAATCATTGATCAGCTGCCTCCTCCATGTCCCCCACTGGGGATCAAGCCCACAACCTGGGCATGTGCCCTGAGCAGGAATCGAACCTTGTGACCTCCTGGTTCACAGGGCAATGCTCAACTGCTGAGCCACTCCATCTAGGCATTTCTGTACTATTTTGATTCAGGGTAGGAGGGATTATAGATTAGTAGGTAAGAGCATGAGTCTGACCTGGGTTCAGTGCTTGCCTTTGTCACCTCCTAAGCTTTGGCGTTTAGAGAAACAGCTTTACTCAGCTAAGTGGGGGAACAACTAGAAGTGTGAAGTTTAATAAAAGTTCTGCTTTAGAGCAGTGGTTCTCAACCTTGGCTGCACATTAGAATCACCTGGGAATCTTTTTAAAATCCTGATTTCTGGGCCTCATCCTCTGGAAATTCTGTTTCTTTGTTACTCATGTTGTGGCCCCACCCCATAACAAAGAAACAGAATTTCCGGAGGACGAGGCCCAGAAATCAGGATTTTAAAAACATTCCCAGGTGACTCTAATGTGCAGCCAAGGTTGAGAACCACTGCTTTAGAGCCACTTACCACAGACCCAGGCATATACCCAGTGCTCTGAAATGTGTATGTCATATATTTCAAAATAGATGTACAGGGCCCTTTGCAAGCACACTAGATGCCACAAAGTCCAGGCTGACTGGTCCAGTGAGAGTGGCTCCTCCTCCCAGTGTTAACAGGAGGGAGGGCTTGTGTGTCAGGTTGGAGTTTGGTTTGGAGACGGTTTCGTCGTTGAAATTGACCTGGTCTCACTGTCAGCTGTGTGGCTCTATTGGCCACAGTCATGAACTACGTGGCATTTGGAGTGAGATGAGGTGGCCACTGAGAGATCTCCTGGATGTGGGTTCATGTTGAGGCCAGGGGAGCAGAGGCTGTGACTTTTATATACTATAATGACACCCCACTTCTTGAATAGGCACGGTTGATATTTGCCTGTGGGACTTGGGAACATCTGGAGGGCAGACGCCTCCAATCCCGATGTGCCTGTCGTTTGCAGTGGAGCATCATCTGCAGCATTTGTCCTAGAAGACACCTCGGTGCCCCGGGGTCCTTCCTTCCCCACGCCACCCACCGAGCCGCAGCCTTCTTCTCAAATGGAGAAGAAACGTTTTAGAATTCACTCAATCACTGCGGAGCCTCACGGTCTCCCATTTCCAAGCGCCCATCCGCACCCTCAGCAACCTGAGCAGGGTCGGAGGTTCTAGCGCCTCCGGAGTGTCTTCCTGCCAGTGATGATGCAGCGCCAAGTGCTCATCAATGCTGGGCGGCTGGGCGGACGCAGGGACCTAAGTGAGAAAACTGGCTCACCAACAGCACTGGTTACTAGCATTTCCATGGACGTACATGAAATATTTATGAGACTGGAAATAGCAATTTAGAAAACTGCACTCACACCTTTAGTCTGCGAAGGCAGTTAAGTTAGTGCTGGGGAAAAAGGAGACCCCGTCCTCCGCAGGCCTGCCGTCTCTCGGCTGTTAAGCAGTGTTGATCCTTTCTGTCGCTTCTGGCTTGATTTCATCATTTTACCCCATCGCTTTCCCCAGTGATTAGTTGAATCAGAGTGATTTTATCATACTCGTCCCCTATTTGAATTACTCTCCACTATGCAATTATCCTATCACAGAAAGTCCCATTTTCTCCCTGTCAGATGTCTGAAGCAAATGGGAAACCTAAAGTGGCCTGCCCATTACATAACCTCTGTCATCTGGTTGGTAATGGACTATATGTAACTTTTTTTTCTCTCCAGGCCAGCAAATTACAAATAACCTTAGCTTTAATAATTGCCATTAACATAATGGCGGCATCACGATGGCATCACTTCTTAACTAATATTTTCTAGCACGTTTTAATGCCATCGGCGGTTTAAATCATTCTTCCAAGTCCACTTGGAGGATGGCAGTGGGTTGTTTTGACTTAGAGCCAAATCGAGTTTGATGCAGCCACGCTGCTCCTTGCTCTCGCGGATAACACTTGTGCCTTGAGCCTTATCTCCCAACTTCTTTGTCCAGACGTGTTCACGCAACCAAGTCCTCATTTAATGCTGCTGAGCGGTTTATCAAGTTTTAAGTCCTATAAATGGACAAGGAATGGAATCAATTTGCTTCCAGTTCATTAACATTTCAAGGAGATATTTCACATGCTGGACGGGAGGAAGTGTGCCGCCTGACGACTCCCATGGGCCTTCCCACGTGACACCTGGAAACGCACGGCTTGTCATAGGTCAGAGCTCCTGTGAAATACTGACGGAGGCAAAATTGACACAGCTCCCCATTCTTCTGTCTTGCTGATGGTGACCAGTTCCTCTCCCTGATTTGAGAAGAGGGAGAAGGCCAAGGATGTGCATCCCATGGCCTTGGCTGTGTGGGCAGACTACACAGCCTTTCCTTTGTCTTTGATATCCCAGCCATAACTAGGAGGAGCACAAACCATCACCCCACTGGAAGGGCCATCTGAGCCCCAGGGGCCTCCGGGTGGGCACAGAGAAGTGTGTAGCTGGAGGAGACTGTAGGAAGTGACCAGGCCACTACAGGCATCTCTGGTTATAGGGACCCACTTTGGGGACAGATTCCAGCACTTCAAGGGGAGGTGATGGTCTTGTGGTTTCAAAATGGCCCACAGGCTCAAGATGAGCAGCACAGCCTGCAAGAGTGAGCCAGGAAATGACCACAAGAAGGACTTTGGAGAATATGTGAATGTGTACTAGGGTTCTCCAGAATGGTGTTCAAAGGGTGGATTCTCCAGAGCGGTTGTTGCCTTTGATTGTTGGAGCAGCTCTGGGGCGGCACTCCCTTCGTCACACTGATTTGGGTCAGACTTGTAACTTCCTTTGGTCTTTGTCTCTCAGGAGTTCCTGGTTTCCTGGGAAGGCACTGACCCACGTGGCTTTCACAAACGGGCAGGGCAGAGTCCAGGCCTCCCTCCAGAGAGAGGGATTATAGGATGGTATCTATTCCGGCCACACAGCAGCCAAAACATTAAGTACTTTGTTGTTCAAATGCAACGGGGACAGTGAGGAGACATAAAAAGCAGGTTGTAGCTAAACTCACAAAGTGAGGAGGAGTCTGTTGTTTCCAAACCTTGGATAAGCTATTGAGTAAATTTTGGAGGCACTCGGAAGCTCATACCTGGACATAAACTTCATCCTGTTTCACTTATTTTTTAAATTATATCGATACAGTGATAAATCCAGCACTCTAAAAAAGAGTGTTTTGCTTAAAAATAAACACGCTTGCTCCTGGGGAAAGGCTGGAGAGACTAGATTGCATGTGAAGTCCCCCTTCCTGTAGCCGCCTGCTGTGCACTGCAGAGCTGTTTCCCATTACAGCTGTACTGTGGAAAGTAATTGCTGTTGTACAGTAATTCAATTTCAGGGCATTCACGCATCGCTTCACCGATAGGGGTTTATCTGAAGGGACCTGGGACTTGAAGGCTTTTTATCGAGAAATGCCACATGCAGCACAACGTTTTTCCTGGGTAGCGAATACCAGCATTTGCATTTAATAAACATTTACCTTCCCCAAAAGATGGATATTTTTTCCCCTGCAGAAGAGATTTACACCAGTCTTCCAATAAGCTAGAGGGTTCTATTAAGGCGACTTCCTCTAGATGTTTTTTGATGAGTGTGTCTACATATGTATGACTATAAAACACATCTTTGTTTTTATGTAAATATATATACACACACACACACACACACACACACACACACACACACACAG